CATGGGGGTCAGTAACGTCAGTGGCATCGTGGTGCAGATAGCGCAGCAGAAAATAAGGATATGTGAGAAAACGTGGTATAAAATATTCAGGAATAGAAAAAAAGAAATATTCAGGTTGCAGGAGTTACGAAATGTGTTTACTACAATACAGTTTCTGTCAACAGGTCATCATCATATGTGTAACACCTTTCAATAGATTCTACAACTTGAGTGGAGGTCGGATGCATGGCCTATACTGAGACGAGATCGGACGATGACGATTGCCCCTTTTCTTGTCGCTTACGTTGGGATATTCTAGACACATTTCGAGTGTTGCCAGAAGGGAGCGACTTTTCAGGTGGCCGAGATCCGCCCTCGATAGATCCTCGACGCAAATATCTCCTCAACTAGAAAATGTTAAACAGGCTGTCAGGAAGCGCAAACCTTCCGCTTTCCAAAACTATCTTCCTTTTTTCAGATCTTACGAAATTAGAGAGATATTGCCTTTTAAGTGGCAAAAACTCGCATGAAAAATTCAGCATCCTCGACGCTGCCTCGACAAAATTTGAGAGACCCTATCTCTTCGAGTGTAAAGATTTTAGATCAATTTCAATATTGCCCGGTAGTAGCAAATCCAGCTCTATCTAACCCTACCACATACTGCTCCAAAGGTTATGAAATGGGGAATGGAACCTTTTCATCGAGAGTGTAGATTTCGATGGTTTCGAGCGGGGTTTCTGCAAATCTGACCCACGGACAAACCGTACTGATGTGACCATGTCCTCGACACGATTCTCACCCTGCTCAGTAGGACGGAAGTGGTGTAGTGGCAAGTGGCACGCTTACCACGCGAGCGGTCCGGGATCAAATCCTGGGTCGTGAGTCGCCCGGGCCAACCAAGCCATCAGTCAACGGCTTGCAACAAGTCACCGTGGCAGTGTATATATTGATGACAGCTGTTGCTTGACGTTCAAAAGATACAGACAGAAAAAAAAGTTCAAAAAACGCACCGGCTACTGGGGCACGCTAATGTATCATTTGGTGCTCCAAGTATTTTTTGTGAGCGTAGTGAGTTAGAGCAATCGTTTTCCTTCAAAAAATAAAATTTACGATTACATTTCTAAGCTTACGGAAACGCTTCAGGAATTTGTTAGGGGAGATCATCTTTGATCGCTGATTACCTTCCCCGTATTCACTATAAGAAAAGAACATGGGGTTTGTGAGTGAGCAGAGAAAGGCTCATAATGATTCTCGTCCGGTTATTGTTACATTACTGTCAAATTCGAAATAGCCAATTATTTTCTCAAATTGATAGAAGTATCAGGAAATTGGTTAATGTGCAACACTTCCTTTTTGTCATGGTCGATCAATCGGCGCAAACTTGTTTTTTACAAAATGAAGCTGTTGACAGTAT